TTCTTCTTCTTCTTCTTCTTCTTCTTCTTCTTCTTCTTCTTCTTCTTCTTCTTCTTCTTCTTCTTCTTCTTCTTCTCAGATTGAAAGAAATTAACCTTCTTCACAACTTCTACTATATTATGAAAAGTGAGAAGACCAGGAAGAAATGCAGGCCTATTAGAGGATGCAACAGCAGGGAAATCTTTCCTAGTCCTAAGTTAACTTCATGCAGCATGACCAATGCTTGCTTATCTAATTCTCACCTATCCTAGCTGGGTGGCAAAACTCTTGATTGTACGTTTTAGGGCAATTCTATGTGTCTCCCTTTGTGTCTCCTTTGTGGCTTCCTTCTTTGCCCATCTTTGAGCCTTCCAAAGTGTGGTTTCAGAGCCATTTCACACCCTTGTGATGGGAATCACTGATTCATGTCCTTTCGGCTCATTAACAGCAGCACTTGATTTCCCTAGAAAGGGTGGACTTTTTTTTTAGAGACAAAATAAAAACTTGTTTCAACTAAGCCCTTGTCTATCTATTGTTGTTGTTGTTGTTGTTGCTGTTATTATTATTATTATTATTTCATCAGGCTCAGGGATGGGTTCCAGCAGGCACTACTGCCAGTTCGATTGTGTGCACACTTTGTTCGTGCATGCTTCATGCGCGCTGCATGCACATGCGCAGTACAATTAAAATTGTTCTGGGCATATGCAGAACCAAAAAAGAAGATGGCAGCACTGCCAGCGCCAACCAGAAAGCTGGTTCAGGGACATGGCAGGCCTGGGTCGCAGTCTGTCAAGAGTGAATTTACAACCATAGACCTTATCAAGCTTGGAGAGCTGCCAGGCCGATATCTTCCAAACGCCAATCTGTAGCAGACAATACTTGGCAAGGAGCCTCCGAGAGTCACAAACAAATCTTCACTCTAATGAAGCGAACAAATTGTCTCCTGCAAACTCCACTCCCCTTTCATTCCTCTTTATTCCCTATAGGAGGGGCCATTCACTGTCCACCGGTGCCTTTACTCCTGAATCGGCCCTTGTTCTTTAACTGTTCCTTTCTACTGGCAGCTCTGCACATGCACACACTGGGAACAGGCTCCAGCTGTTCTTCTGCCCCACTGATCTCCAACTCCGAAGGCAGTTGATAACTGTCAGACAGCTCTGGCCTCATCTCTGACTCCAACTCAGAGCCCTCATCAGAGGCTTCCCCAGACTCCAGGATTGGCCCATGTTCCTCCCCAACCTCCTCACTATCTGAGTCTGCCACCAGCTCCACTGGCCACTGGTGGGCCACAACACCTATGGGGAAATGAAAAATAGTGTAAGGACCACTATTTCTGATATATATTTTTCCCAGAAATACAAAATACAGTTGCAATCACAGCTTTTTGTTTTGCACATTTAATAAGTTTCCTTTTAGCAATGTCACCATCCCCTAAATGAGCTGGTGATCCATGGACCACTGGTGGTCTGCAAGAAAATTTTGATGGTTCGCAGAAAAATTATTTGCATTTTTTATATTGCACTAAATCAGCGGTTCTCAAACTATGCCCCCTGGGACAGATACGTGCAATGAATGCTTGTGTTGCTGCAGAGTCTCCCCCTTTGGGGTCTTTTTGTGTGAATCGAAGGGGAACAGAAATTCCGACATGGGGTCTGATTCAGCCTCCTGGTGGGGGGCTTTCGGTAAAGGCTGGAGGGAAGCGCCGCTGGTGGAGAAGAGCCGGAAGGCCTTGTTCCTGTAGGACTGTATCATGGCCTGGAACTGGCTGATCATCTCAGCCCACTGAGCCTCCAGGTGGGTTCCACCACAAAACCGCGCTCGACTAAACCGCGTCCGACTAAACCGCGTCGCTGATGTCATCAACAGGGCGACAACAGCGCGGAGACAGAAACACGCTGTAAACCCTAAACCTAAAATTAACCCCTAAACCTAAACCTAACCCCCCTAAACCTAATCCTAAACCTAACCCTAAACCTAACCCTTAACCTAACCCTAAACCTAACCCTTAACCTAACCCTAAACCTAATCCTAATCCTAACCCTTAACCTAACCCTAAACCTAACCCTAACCCTAACCCTTAACCTAACCCTAAACCTAACCCTAACCCTTAACCTAACCCTAAACCTGACCCTTACCTTAAATTGAATTGGCTTGCTTTCAAAGCGCTATTTAAAGCACCCTTCTTTCTCCGCGCTGGCTGTTGTCACCCTGTTGATGACATCAGCGACGCTGTTTAATCGGGCGCGGTTTAGTCGAGCGCGGTTTTGACGGGTCACGTCCAGGTGCTGGTACCTGGCTTTGCACTCCTGCAAGTCTTCCCTCTGCTTGGAAAGCCTATGCTTGTAGTCCTCAGTGAGGTGCTTCTGCTGAGCCTCCTTCTCGGTCAGATCCAATTTGAACTGAGCCGGTTGTTTTGCCAACTCTTTCTCTTGGTGGATGCTTAGTTCCAGAAATGGCTTCCTGTTGGGGCCCTATGGAACCCAGGCGGGCGGGCGAGGAGTGGCGAGTAGAGGTTGGCAAGGTGCCACTCAAAGTGAGTGACATCAAGTTGGCCACACTCACCCAGTCACATGACCACCTAGCCACGCCCACCCAGCCAGTCATTAGGCAGATCATATTAGTAGTCCACAGGATTTAAAATTATGAATATAGTGGTCTCTGAGGTCTGAAAGCTTGGTGATCCCGCCCTAAATGACAGGAATGTCCTCTTTCCATCATTTCAAGATGCAGGCCTGCAGTTCATGCCCTTTTTATGATGACATGACAACACACGCATTGTCACTTGCTCCCTCTGGGGAGGCCCGCAACCAGAAATGTTAGCTCAACACATTGGGAGAAAGCTGTAGTAAGGAAACTTCCTAAACAGCTTCATGGAAACTATTATTGCAGTCCAAATTTCCAGGCAGGAAGACGAACAGCAAACATTCATCTAAGGGTCGATGGAAAGGGAAGGCAATAAGAACAACCGGAAAAAGTCCTGTTTTTAGAAGGATGAGGTAGTCATTGTGAAAAATATATAATTTTATGGTACTACTCCCAAAAAAGTGGTGTTATTAGCCATCAAACCTCAAAAATACACTTTTCCCAAAAGGTTTCCACAATTTTGGCCACTACTGTACAACTGAAGCCTCAGAAATATTTAGTGTGTGTATGAACTCCAGGAGAGGAGAAAAAAATCTCCTATAGGTCCTACCAATCCAACATTGTTAGTGACCGTATTTTCAGAGGCATCCAAGAACATGTCAACACATATAATATGACATAGGGCAAGTACATCACAGACAGAAATGCCCCCTTCCACTCAACTGTCCATCTTTCGCTAACATCAACTCAACTTGTCTGCTTCCTGATGTTTCAATGTCCAACAGATTTCTCCTTTGTTCTTACTTCGTATAATCCCCGACCTCCGGTCCTTCCGACACACCCTAAAAAGTTGGTTTTTCCAGCAAGCCAGCCTGGCCTGAACAAAACAAAATAAATTTATTGAGCACTGTTAATTTTAATTCCAATTTTTTTAAAAAAA